ACATTAAGTTTATCTTGCTACACTATAAAGCTCATCTTACTGCAAGACTGGCTCCATCTTGTTGCAATAATAATAATAATAATAATAATAATTAGCTGTACACGCCATGCGTTGCTGTGGCCAACCTTCCCTCCCTCTTTCTCTCCTTCTTTCCCTCCTTCCCTTTTCTTCTTTCCTTCCTTCCTTCCTTCCTTCTTCTCCTTCCTTCTCCTTCCTTCTCCTCCTCTTCCTCCCCCCTTTTCTTTTCCTTTCCTTTCTCTTTCTTCCTTCTCTGCCTCTTTCCTTCCTTCCTTTGCTTTTTGCTTCCATCCTTCCTTCCGTCTTTCCTTCCTTCCCTGCCTCTTTCTCTTTCTTTCTCTTCTTCCTTCGCTCCCTCTTTGCTTCCTTTTCTTTTTTTTTCCTTCTCTCCTTCCTTCTTTCTCTACCCATTTCTTTCCATCCCTCTTCTTTTCCTCTTTCTCTCCTTTCTTCCTCTCTACCTCTTTCCTTCTTTCTTTCTTCCTCCTTCCTTCCTTCCTCCTTCCTTCCTTCTTCTTCCTTCCTTCCTTCCTTCCTTTCCTTTCCTTCTCCTCTTCCCTCCTTCCCCTTCTTCCTTCCTTCCTTCCTTCCTTTCTTCCTTCTTCTCTTTCCTTTCTTCTTTCCTTCCTTTCCTTTTCTCCTCTCTCCCTTCCCTCCCCTCCTCTTCCTTCCCTTTTTTCTGTATTGTCATTTAGTTTTTCGTCATTTATTTGGGGGTTTTAAGTCCTTTCCACTGTTTTTTTTTGGGGGGGGGGGGTTATGAGTGGTCTGTTAGCGTTGCTGTGGCCAACCTCCCTCCTCTCTTCCCTTCCTCTTCCTTCCTTCCTCCTTCCTCCTCCTCTTTCCTCTTTCCCTCTTTCCTTCTTCCTTTTTCTTTCCTTCTCTCTTTCCTCCCTCCCCCCTTTTCTTTACCTTCTTTCTCCTTTCTTCCTTCTCTACCTCTTTCTTTCCTCCCTTCCTTTGCTCTTTGCTTCCATCCTTCCTTCTCTCTTTCCTTCTTTCTTTCCCACCCTCTTTCAATCTCCTTTCTTCTCTCCTTCTTTCCTTCCTTCCCTTCTCTACCTCTTGCCTGGGCACCGGCAGGACGGGAGCCTTGCTGTAGCCCTCAGCCTTGCTGGGCCTGGTGTGGGGCAGACGAGAGGCGCTTTTCGAGGCAGGCCTCACTCACCCAGCGCCGCCCCTTCTTCTTTCTGCCATGGCTGTGGGGTACCATCCCTGTTTGGTGGGTGGGCACACAGGCAGGGCCATATGGAAGGCACCCTGCGTCTAAGGCAGAAAGAAGGGGCCAATGTGGGTGAGCAAGGCCCACTTTGAAAAATGCCTCCCGCCCCCGCCGGGCCCTGCAAGGCTGAGGGCTGCAGAACTCCCTTCTTGTCGGTGCCCAGGCAAGGGAAGGTGAAACCTGCCAACAGCGTCCACATGGAGCAGCCATCCGCCCGCCTCTCCAGGGGGAAAAGAAGGAGGAGAGGTCTGTGTTTGGTGGTGCTGACAAAGAGAGGAAGGAGACTGGGAGGGAGGGAAGGAAGGAGGGCCCACGCATGGAAAGGGACTCCATGGCGAGGCTTCTCTTCCCTCACAACGGTTGGTGCTTCATTCTCATGCAAATGGGAGAGGGGCTTTTGCGCATGCTCTGTAAGGCATTTTTCTTTTTTGGGAAGTTTTAAGTTATTTCCCCTTCATTTTGTACAATTTTTTTGTTTGAAAGACATAGATCAGATTAGAATGTGTTTTGCTGCCAAATTTGGTGTCATTTTGTCCAGTGGTTTTTGGGTTGTGTTAATCCCACAAACGAACATTACATTTTTATTTATATAGATTATTATTAAACACTCAGTATTTGATCCCACAGAGCCAGGGTGATGCAAGTGGGGCAGTTAAGCAGTGGAACTCTCTCTCTGCCCCAGAGGGAGTATGGTGGCAGCTCCTTCTTTGGAGGCTTTGAAACAGAGGCTTTGAAGGTGATTTTCCTGCTTCTTGGCAAAGGGGGTTGGACTGGATGATCGCCCACGAGATCTCTTCCAACTCAAGGTTTCTATGATTCTAAGTGCATTCATTCCCCAGTGATGCCCCTTGAGACAGAGCAGGGGAGACGCTACGCGTTTTGAGGACCAGACTCCACCCTGATCCCTTTGGAGCCACGCACCTTGCGCTTGGCAGAGACCTGTTCCTGGTACCGGTCGGAGGAGTCACCTGGGATGCCGCTGGCCCAGAGGGTGATGCCCACCTCCGTGTAGACGCTGCCGATAATTCCCAGTGGGAGAATGTAGCTCAGGATGGTCACGCAGCCGTGGTATCTGCAAGAAGAGGCCGAGCGTTACGTGTTGGGGACTCAATACTGTGCAATTTGTCCCAGGTTGACCACAGAATCCTCGGGCTGGAAGTCCAACCCCCTTCTCTAGGAATCTATGGCTCAAGCATAATGTGCAAGATGTGGCAGATGAGGCTCCAAATGGGTCACTTTGGGGCTTTCCTTGCACTGTTGCGAACATGTCGGTCTGCTCCTGCTCCGTGCCATCTGTCCCCACTCTTATTTTCTCTTTCTCTCCTCTGCCTCTCTTTCGGCAAAGGATGGGCACCAATTGCTCCAAACAAAGCCAGAATTTATCTGTTACAAGTGATGCTGGCGCCATGAGCTGTTGGGGTGGCCACAAGGCTGTAAACAACACAGGGTGCAGACTTAATGCAGTTTGGTACCATTTTAACTGCTCTATTTCAATGGAATGGAGTCCTGAGAGTTGTAGTTTCGCAAGATCGTCAGACTCAAGACCTGGTCAAACTACAACTCCCAGGATCTCATAGCATTGAGTCATGGCAGTTAAAGTGATGTCAAACCACATTAATTCCACAATGGAAGCCCCCGGTGGCACAGTGGATTAAACCCCTGTGCCAGCAGGACTGAAGACCGACAGGTCGCAGGTTCGAATCCGGGGAGAGGCGGATGAGCTCCCTCTATCAGCTCCAGCTCCTCATGCGGGGACATGAGAGAAGCCTCCCACAAGGATGATAAAAACATCAAATCATCCAGGCGTCCCCTGGGCAACGTCCCTGCAGACGGCCAATTCTCTCACACCAGGAGTCACTCCTGACACGACAAAAAAAAATCCACAATGTAGATGCACCCAGGGAAGGCTCAGAACCTTGTAAAACTAAAATTCCCAGGACTCCATTGCATTGAGACATGGCACTGCAAGTGGTATCAAACTGCATTAACTCTGCAGTGTAGTTGCACCTTTAGATAGGACATTAATCTCCAAAATTTTCTTATTATTCAACATTTTGAACTGTGAATTTTAAGTTAGCATTCCATCGGCATCACGTTTCAATCTCAGTACTATGTCATATAGTCTATGTATTTTGGCTCTTCTGCACCCACCTTGAGCAACAAGAAGAGACAAGGAACACATCAAAATCATTATCTATATATATAAAAATGCTCTGTGCATAATGAGTACCTTAAAAACAAAAGAACTAATGAACAAAATCACACCAAATTTGGCAACAAAACATCTCACAACACAAGGAGTGACCATCACTCAAAAAATTATGATTTTATCATTTGGGAGTTGTAGTTGCTGGGATTTATAGTTCACCAACAATCAAAGAGCATTCTGAGTTCCACCAATGATGGAATTGAACCAATCTTGGGACACAGAACTCCCAAACTGGAAAATACTGGAAGGGTTTGGTGGGCATTGACCTTGAGTTTGGGAGTTGTAGTTCACCTACATCCAGAGAGCATTATGGACTCAAACAATGATGGATCTGGACCAAAATTGGCACAAGCACTCAATACGCCCAAATATGAACAGCCACAGACCTGTACCTAATATTATTGTTGCCTGCCATAGCATTGCACTTAATTCCCAGCCCCCCTAGAACTTTTGGGCTCGCATAAATCTTGGCCCGGCCTTTTAAATTTTTAATTGCCTTGAAAAGGCAGGTTTACTGTGTTATGGCGACAATTTTTATGCTTATATTTTGTTTGTTAATCTTATGGTTATGTTGTTTTTACTCTGTATGTTTCGTGACGTTACTTGGGAACCGCTCTGAGTCCCCTCGGCGAGACGGAGCGGTATATAAATAAAGTTTTTTAATATTATTATTATTATTATTATTACTACTACTACTACTACCACCAGTGAGAGGGCTCTTACATTGCCGCATGTGGGGGAATTTGAAAGGAGGCCTGCTATCCCTCCTCAGGCTTTGAGCCAGGCGTCAGATTTAACAACTGCAGAGGCATTTAACAACATGGTTTTGTCTTGCCTAGGGGCCCTAGTTGATTGCTGGAGACATCAATTACCACTGGTGTCATTCATGATGGAGGATATGCCAGATGATGAGCCAGGTGTTGCGGTCCCATCAACATCAGGTGTTTCTACCCAGGCTGGGCAGGCACTACCTTCATTGGTTGATGTGGGGGTTACTCCTCAGACTGTGGAACAACCAACGTTATCAACAGGTAGGGAATATCACGAAACTCCAGGACCACTGGGATTTACAGACCTAGAGAGGGAACCTCTAGTCCAGTAGGAGACCACCTTGGGGGCTGCAGCAGTTTCCAAACTAAAGGAGGCCCCTGTGCTTCAGCAGGTATTCAAGAGCTCATGGGGCATCTTAATATCCCCTGTTGAGTAGTTGCTCCAGGTAGGGCCTTTTCGCATAGTTTGTGTGATGCTACTTGTGGTGTCACCAAGCCCCACCACAGAATAGCTATATCTCAGGGCATCTCGGGTGATCTGATTACCTGGGCAGAGTTCATAAACTCTTACAATGGTGTCTCATTCTGGAGACATGACTTGCAGTTGTGTGATGCTCTGAAGGCTGCATCAGACACTGCTGGGTCTGCGGGTTTTGGAGTTTTCTTTAATGGCCAGTGGTGCACAGAGCATTAGCCAGTTCAGTGGTCCTGTGCTGGTACGGCTGTACCAGGAGCTCCAACTTTATTTTCTTTCTTTTACCTGTTTGCAGTCATAGGGCAGGCCTCCTGTCCATCATAATTAAGCTTTGGTTCCGCCCCTTGTTCAGGGCTCTGGGAGGGAAAGGAGCCATTTTTTGGGCAGTCTTACATAAGGAAGCTAAACTATAGGACATAGACCAGCTCATCCCGTAGAAAAGCTTCTTTTCTCAAGAACATCCGGGAAAACAGAAACAGAAATTCCAGGGAAAAGGTCCCAAGGCTCTGGCTGAGAACTCACAGCTTTTCGGCCTCACAGCAATCAGAGGAAAAACAACCCTGAGCTTTCAAAGAATTATCTGAGGGAGGACAGCACTACAGATCCACGGAGCTCCGTCTGAAATATCTACAAGCCTCGGCTGGTAGGTCTACTCGATACCCAGATGCACTTGGAATCGGTAGTAGGACCCACACCGATGAGGCATAGATAGTAAACAGGAGATGTTAAATAGGGTTTTTTTTCCTACAGAGAAAATACAGTTAATTAAAGTCAGGTACCAGTCCATTGAGGACTAGACTAAGAAAGCCTTGAAGTGTTGTTTGAACCATTGAAGATTTGTTGTTTGTTCCATAATAAAGACTTTGTTGTATCATTAAAGACTCTAAAGACCATTACTTCAGAAAAATCCCTGAGAACCTCTCTTTGAGGCGCCCTGGCTTCCCGCTGGGCTTAAAGTATAGAAAAGAAAGCTGTTACAGGCCCAGTGTGCGACAGAACAGGTCCTCTGCCGAAATGTTATCTGATTTAACCTTTTTGGAGTTCTTCCCTATAGTGGTAGCTGTTTGGCTATGGGCTGCTGACTTCGCTGACAGTATAGTACACTTTTGGTGTGACAATGCGGCCACTGTTCAGGTCATCAATTCAATGACATCACGATCACCAAGAACAATGCATTTGGTTCGAGCATTTGTTCTGCAGTGCCTCAAATACAATACTGTGTTTTTTGTCCATCACGTTGTGGGAGTAGATAATGCTCTCTCCCGCCAACAGATGGTTCGGCTCGATCCGCAAGCATCTGTGTCCCCCACGGTGATGCCTTACAGCCTATGGAGCCTTTGCGGGGTGAGGTTAATCGGGCCATCGGAATCACTCTAGCTAACAACACCAGAGTAGATTACCATAAGTCTGCAGAGGAATTTGAGTTCTTCTGGTGTACACATAACCTTGGCAATCCTTGACCTATTCCAGTAGAGCAAATTCTTCATTTTTGTGTTTTCTTACACAGCAAGGGTTTGGTCCCCGCCACAATCAGGAATAAATTGTCCACATTACCATTTGTCTCACAATCACAATTACAAAAGTACCCAAATCCAACCAAGAGTTTCAGGGTTCATAAGATATTATATATTTATAATATTGTAATGTAATGCAATATAATACTAGTAATTGTTTTTAAATGCATAATGATTTTGTATTCTGTATATCTAAACTGTATATCTAAACTGTTGGAAACCGCTCTGAGTTGCCTAAGGGCTGAGAAGAGCGGTATACAAATAAAGTAAATAAAGTAAATAAATAAATAAATAAATAAATATTAGAAGAGTGGTCTTGGGAGCGTGAAACAGTAAAAGATACTTGGGTGCCACTGGGGCCAGCCACCTTGAAAGGTTTGACAAATGTTTGCCCTGGGATTTGTCATACTCACTTTGAGGCCTTGCTTTTCCATGCTGTAGCTCTGACTACTTTCTTTGGGGCCATGCGGGTAGGCAAATTAGTGGTAAAATCATGCAGAGATGGCTCGGGTAGGGCGCTGATGATGCAGGACCTGGAATTAGGGCCAGAACAAGCGATCCTGCATATTCGCTATTCAAAAACGAATCAAACAGGTAAGGGAACTAAAGTGCAGTAACTTACCTGTGCAAAGGTGACCTTGTGCCCAGTGAGAGCCCTTCATCGATGCATAGAGGTAAGAGGGAAGAGACTCAGGTATCCTTTTTAGCCATGTGGACTCCCTCCCTCTTACAAAATATCAATTCTGGAAAGTTACTTCAAAGACCCTACAAGTTTTGGGCTTGGGTGGGGTCAATTTTGGACTCTACGGCAGTGGCCATGGGATTTAAAGACTAAGATGTTCAGCGCATCGAGAGATGGCACTCAAATACATATTGGTGTTATGTACGATCATTCCCAACAACAACTCAGTGATGATTGACCCTCTTCTTTTGTTTAGTTCACAGATGCAGATCGCTTCGCAGGCGTGTCCTCATCTGGGGCTATAGTTTGGTTCTCTGGGTGGAGAAACATGCCCGTCGGAGTCACCTTGGGATCCAGTTGGGTTTGAGTGACCTAGTTATAGTTGAATGATGGGGTAGAAGGGGACTCCGATGGGGGAGGGG